TATACTTATTTAATTTATCAAGAAAATTGCTTTTTAAAAATATATAACTCTAAATTTTTATAATGATGCATAAAAATTTTTTTCATAAAATTCTTTAAATTAGTTAAGCAATCAAAAAAAAATAAGCCTAAATAAATTATAAATATTCACTTAAATAATAAAAGTATTGGTAAACAAATTTTTTATGCATTGTTATAAAACTCTAATTTTATATATTTTTAACTCTAGTGAAAAAATTCACTTAGTCATTTAAGTATAGTTAAAACTAAAAAATTATTAGCTTTTGTATAATAAAAATTTTATTTTAAGTTTTTTAAAATTTAAAAAATTTTTTCATCAGTATTTAAGCTATAAAACATATTAATAAAAAGTTCTTTAAACTTTATAAAACTTTTTATATGGTAAACCGATATAATGAACATTTTCACTTAATAATATTATAAATTATTATATAATAAAAAAATATTTATAAAAAAAAATATCAGAAAGCAAAAAAAACTAAAAGTCTATTTTAAAAATCTGTACTATAAATACTAAAAATAAGAATAAAATCTAAAAAAAATTAGTATACTAAATATATTATTTAAAAAAATAATATTTATAAAAAAAATAATAAGTGAAACTAGAAGTCTATTCGAAAAATTTATACTCTAAATATTGAAAGTAATAAAAAAGCCTAAAATTAAAAAAAGAAGTTTAGTATACTAATTATATTAAAAATAAAAAAAAAAACTTATAAAAAAAGAATATCTAAAAATAAAACCAAAAGTTTATTCTAAAGATCTATACTATAAGTGCCAAATATAATGAAAAAAGTCTAAAATCTAAAAAAAAAACGAAAAAAAAGTTAGTATACATATATTTGGTTTATCTTAGAGCTGTTAGTCAACCCGGGCCGGTGTTATGATAAAGTTTCTTTATTAAGTTAGTGTTATAATTTTATCACAATCAGGTCAAGATTCAGGCATGTATAATAGAGGCTTAGCTGGGTGGCTTTAACCCTTAGCAAGAGATGAATATCCCTCAGCAATAGGTGAACAAGGGTGAATAACCCTCAGGCAGGGATAGCTACTATATAAATATGATGCTCAAACTAATAAAGGAAACATATATTGTCTTGCTCGTTATATAATAGGTAAAATAATAACATTCCTTCCAACTAAACTATTCTCCTTAATGACTATCACTAAATCCGAATTCCTAATAAACATTTCCTCCGTGTAACTTGTGCTATGCCCGAAGCTAATCTGCACACGTACGTACGATCTCCCAATCTCGGGCATAACGCCGGATCGACGGTCCTTTAGTTCATCCAAGGATCGGGCCAGTCCAATCCTCTTTAGGATGGATAGAGAGGACTATTAGTCCTAATAGTAAAGTAAGGATGAGCATTAGAACGACATTAGAAAGAACACCACATATGGCAAAATCTTACAGGGAATTTTTTTTTGTTAAGACGCAGGTGTTTTATAGACGAAATTTTGAGTTATGGACGTTTTTTTGAGCCTGATAATCACGAGACTGATGACTTTTTGTGCAGTTTCAAGTTACACAATCATGTATGAATAACAATGCTGCGTGAGAATCAGAGATTCTATAGATTTTACTAAGAAATATAAATATAACCGCTCGAAAATATAAAGTAATGACAATCTAAAATCTTAGAAATTTTTCCAATTATTATCACAAAAATCATGTGGCCACATCTTTTTGCAAAGCGCTATATATAAATTAAGTTAGAATAAGAGTTAGGAGATTATAATAAAATTTATTAAAAGGTTTTTTTTATTAAAACCTCAAAGGTGGTGTTATAGTTAAAAATTTAATATAATTGATTTTTATTTTATTATACAAAATTGATTTACATATTACTTATACGTATCTAATTTTACAATTTTATTAGCAGTTAGTTAAAAAAAAAAAATACGCTAAATGTATAATATATTATCTAACCAAAATCCAAATTTTTATATTTATGTAATTTACTTATTTTTTTTTAAAAAAAAAAAATTTGTCTTTATTAGGTTATTTTGATATTGCCATCTGGGCTAGTTTAACATAGCCTCTAGTTATATAGCTGAACTTAGTGTTGGCAAATGACAATATCATAATATCATATGATATGTTTGCATAATATAGTATCATATAATTCATATGCTATATGATATAAAATCATGTCATATTATTATTATATGATATATCATATGATATTGTGATATGACAATTCATATAAGTCATATGAGTCATACGACATCATTGTCCAACACTGGCTGAACTAGTGTGATAGGTTATATCTGAGTACCTTTAGGTGCAACCAGATGATGTTAGGCTTTGAAATTAAATAAATATTTGTGTAAATAGTTATACAATAATCTTAATAAAGTTGCTAGTAGAACTGCCGAAGTTAAAAAAATTTGTCTTTATTTTTATTAATTATATGTATACTGTTTACCTCTATCCCAGTTGCCCATCACTACTCAAAGGATCTCTTACAGGTAATGCGTATTTCATACGCCTACATAGCAGGGACAGTGATTTTATGTTTTCGCATAATACCACAGAATTCACATAAGTATTCCTATATCACATAATATGATGTATATCATCGCAGAATATCACATAATGTAGTAATTTACAAGAATTGGCACATAACGATAATTTGATAATTTTTGTGAAATCGGATCATCGTGAAATTTGGGGCCTCAATTTGAAACTGTAAGCCCTACCAAAATCCACCTATACTCTTTTATTAATAATTCTAACCCTAAATCCTAACCAACTATAAACAAAAAGCCGACAAAAAAGGCCCCCAAAAAATTTTTAAACATCGTACGTACATAAAAAAGATCGATAATCCGTGACAATTTTTATTGAGGCAATGAATGAAGTCTAACGGATCCGATGTAGAACGAACTCAAATTACGAGCAAGGTTATGAAATTTTTTGAAACGAAATCCGAAAAGTTTCGTCAAAAACTTGGTCACAAATATTACAGAAATTGCACATAATTCGACCAAGTATAGCACATTATTTGGTCAAGTATGCCACAGAATCGAACATAATTTGAATTTTGCCACCGCATAATTGTAATTTTGTCATCACATAAAATCACTGCCCCTGCTACATAGCATATTTAGTAAACTTAAAATCTTGCATATGATTGAGTCAAATTTTTTTTTGTCATATATTTTCATTTATACGTATCGCAAGTTTAATCAATTAGCAAGATGAAACATTACTTTGAAATAGATTCCATAAGATAATTGGATAATTTTTTTACAAATATTAGAAAGTTCGTCTCAGACTTGAAACTTTAATGCGAGTGTAACAATCATACTACGTCAGTAAAATACCTCATTAGCTCGTACGTAATTAAAAGTTCAAATAGCTTTTTTTTGATACTAAAAAAAAAAACGAAACGTTCTGCGAGTAATTATATATATAGATAAAATAACTCTTAAAATTTTGCCTCAACTGCAATTTGAAATTGCGGATCAAGGAATTAATCATTGAAAACTGTCCCAAATAAGAACATTAAATGCTCGTAAAAATCTTTTAACTAATTTAGAGTTTATAAAAGATTTAGTAGACTTAGAAAATTAGAGATAGATGGCAACGCCGAGCTAATTAAAATTTTAGAACCTTATCGAGGTGATTTTACAAAATTTACGATTTTTATTCAATTTATAGAGATCCATTCAAAATTCGTAAAAAATTGAAAAACCATCGGAAAAATAGTAATGAACCCGAAAAGCAACGGTGACAACAATTGTGATACAGTAATAACAAAATCGACAATGGATATGACAACGAAATGTTGATAAAAATTATGATTAAAATGAAGACCTGGCCAATTCATTTACTCGATCTCGATCCCATTTACTTCTTTATCTATTTCGCAAGCAACTCAACAAATAATATTTAAAGATTCTCTATAATGGTTTAATTTTAACTTATTAAATATAAAGTTAAAATTTTTCTTAGCCGTTAAAATGTTTTTTTTTAAATCGTAAAAAATATCAATATAAACTTTAAATTATTGTAATAACTACCCTGGTTGTTATTAAAGGGTAATATCCCGTCTGTGTTTAAAAATTATAATAATACTTTCTCGTTATAGTACATAATAAAAAAAATCGGGTATTTTCCTTAATAATCTCAAAGCTTCGGTTGCTTTATAATACCGTAATAGCGTGCATGGGCGTTATTTCGAATTTCGGCCCGAATTAAATTTAATTTTGGCCAAAATTCGAAATAACGCCCATGCACGCTATATTAATAATTATTTATGAAATCTGTGTCACCGGTTTAATGATTACTAATTTCTGATTTGCTAGATGTTTGTTTAATAATTGATTTCTCATCAGATCCATAATAAAAAGACTGCATAACATACACATATCTTGAAAAAGTATAAATACCCGACGAAATTTTAGTCAACCAACAAAAAGTTTATAAATCAATAAAAAATAAAATAAAATAAAATAAAAAATTGAATCCGTTAAAAATGAGCGCTCAAATTGTCGTGAGAAAGTCCGCAGATAGAGGTTTGTACATGTTAATTTTTGATATTTTATACAGTCAACCCTCCATATAATCACGTTCAATCTAATCACTATAGCTTTTTTTATAATCACACCTATATTTGAGCCAAACTTGAAAAAAAATTAATGTGTTCAATTGTGATTATATAGAAGGAGGATGACAGCAAATATTTTTTAAAAAAAACATTTACTGATTAAATTCACTATATTGAATTTTAAAGGATATGCGAATCATGGTTGGCTTGATACCCATCATACATTTTCGTTTGCATCCTACTTTGATTATAAATTTCAAAGTTTCGGATCCCTAAGAGTGATCAATGAAGACATAGTGCAACCTACCACCGGATTTGGAGCTCACCCGCATCGAGAATTCGAAATTTTCTCGTATATTATTTCTGGTGAATTGCAACATAAGGATTGTACGTAGATAATCATGAGAAAAACATTTGTAAAAAAAAAAAAAAAAAAGAGAGAGAACTTATATTCAATTCTAATCTGTGTCTTTTGCTATTTTGTTCAAATAGCGATGGGTAACGTTGAAATTCTCAAAGCTGGTGACGTCCAATTCACATCAGCCGGCACAGGAATCACACATTCCGAATACAATATTCATCCAACCCTTCCTGTTCATTTTCTTCAAATATGGGTGAAGCCTGACAATCCAAAACTTCAGCCAAGATATCAAACCATGACCTTCCCCAAAACTTCTAAGACGAATAACCTCGTACATATCATCTCTCCGGTTGCTGATCAAGATAACTCTACTATTGGCATTAATACAGATTTTCATATGTATGCCAGTTTATTGGAACCAGGTCATAAGGTTGTGCATACAGTACAAGGAATTAAAGAGCCTAGAAGAGCTTATATTCATCTTACGAGTACTGGTGGAAATTTGAAAATTAATGGAATCACGACATTGCGACAAGGTGATGGTGCATTTGTTACTGAAATTAAACAGGGAGATGAAATCGTCTTCGAGTCTGTTGGCAATGAGAATGCAGAATTTGTGCTTTTTGATCTAGCTTAATACTCTATCATTTACAGCAAGTAATTTTACACTGCCCGAACAAAATTACATAGTTAACTCGTTTGATTATCCATTTATTTAGTTATTCATTTATTTAGTTTTAGTTATCTTACTGTATATCTCACTGTATTTTATTATTATTTAATACTGCATATTATAAATAATTTTATTTAAATTACGTAGTTAACTGTTTGGTAGCTTACTATTATGCTAGGATTTAAACTATTATAATATAAAACTTTACCATCTTTTTTGGGGGGACAATACTATTAATAAAGTGTATATCATCAGAGTTGAACCAAACATAATTTTAGATTCGCTAAATGACAACATTAAATAAGTACTTATATTTGATATTGTTAGAATATTTTAAATTTTAAATGCTTACAATACTTTCCCCATAATAAGCTACCCCCTAAAATAAGCTACCCCCGTTTTTTTAAAAAATTTTAAAAAAAACCGCAAATCGTTTCTACATATAAAAGTCAAAATTTACTAAGTAAACCAAACTTTGGCGTTCTAAGTAAATTTATTCAAGAGATCAAAATGTACATATCTTGAAAGTTTCATGTAATTTGGATCTAGATATTTTAATTTAGACATACGCAAAATAAGCTACCCACAAAATTTTCGTGTAATTTTTCTGCCAAAAAAGGGTAGCTTATTTTGGGGAAAATACGGTAATTGATATTAAATTTTATATCATTAAATACTTGATTTTTGTGTTTTATAAGGTTTAAATAAGTACGTACCTTCTTTGCGGAAATCTTAATTTTTTGCGAGAGCGTCAAAATATTCTAGATTTAGTATAAATTATTAATTATATAGGTCATTGAGAGGAGATTTTCATAGTAAATCGCAAATTTAGTTTCTTACTAGCACTATTAACGAGGTTTTTTGACGGAGTACGAAAAATTAGTAATTGTCGTACTCCATCAAAACTCGTTAATACCTCGTTAATACCTCGTTAATAGTGCTAGTAAGAAACTAAATTTGCGATTTACTATGAAAATCTCCTCTTAACGAC